GGCTGGGGAAGCCTCAGCCCCCTCCAAGCCAGGACAGAATATGTTTCTTCTCTCTAAGACAGCAAAGGGTTCCCCCAAACTCACCTCCTTTGTCTCTACCCTATTTGGGGGCCTGGATCACACCTGCAAAGTCCTTTCACTTGGCCCAGCAGACAGCAATGAACCCAGCAGGGATAGCCGATCCCCTCTGTCATGCTCCACTGGGCCCCTGAGGTGACAGGCACTGCCCAGGGCCAGGAGCAGGGCACCCTCTCCAAGGGCCGCTGGGGGCATGTTGGAATTCTGCCCCCGGGGGCCTGGGACGGGCGTGTGTATGCACTCCATGATGCTCAGGGTGGAGACACGGGATTCATTTCCCAGAAAGGCTTGTCTACACCACCTCCATCACTGGCCCCGCCACCCAAGCCCCTGGCCCACCAGGATAGAGCCAAAAACACTCAGATGTTCCGAGGCTAAAGCCCACGCTCTTTAGCGCCGGAAGGAGTATAACGGGGAGGGCACTTGCATCGCGTGTGTCCAACCTGAGTTCAACCCCCAGCACCCCTAAGTGTGGTCCTCAGTGGTGGACCCCCAGGCACAGTCCCCCGAGTCCTCCCCCGAGTGCTCCCTGATCACAGAGTCAGGAGTGGCCCACAAACCAAAAAAATCAATGAATCAAAATAAACCCTGAACTTCCTTGACTCCTCATTGACCTGGCACGGGAGGACACGTGTGTTCTGGCCCAGCACCCCAGTTGGTCACAATTTGTTTCTGTCCCATCACCAAAGTACAGGGTTCCTGTCCGAGTGCTCCCTCACCAAGGGCACATCTCCAGGGGTCTTCACAGGTCCCAATGGGAGGAGGTCACAGGCACTTGGGACAGCCGCTGTGTCTTGTTACTACCCTGCTAGGCCTCTCAGGCAAAGCTTGCTAGGAGGCCACCCAAAGGTCTTGGAGAGGATTTGACACTTGTGCTAATATGACATTTACTGTGAGCATGGCAGGAAAGAAACCCCAAACTGGAACTTATGAACAGTTCACATGTATGTGACACAAATGACGCTCCTGGTGGAAACTAATGAAATTCGCCTCTGTCGCTTATGAGTTCTCTCCATGAATATACATTCAAACACACAACACAGCCCCTGGGTTATTTATATGGAGCTGCTCTTAAGTGTGGATTGTGTGCAATAAAACACGTCTTTTAACGGACAATAGCTAGCGGCCATCACTCACGTGTGCGAAAACTACTTGTTTGATGCCTTTAACAGTGAAAACACACACAGGCCCAGGGACAGTTCAGGACCCCAGGGTGAGAGTTTGCGTGCTCAGGGATGGAGATTGTCCTGGGACAACAAGGCTGCCCAAGCACTACTCTTGGGGGCCCCTCAGCCCTACTGGGGTGGCCCCAAGTGGCCCCAGCATCACAGCATCTGGGCAGCCTGGCACCATTAGTCAGAGAATTGACCTGTCTGGTTCAGTCTGGCCAAGCATCACCCAGAGAGCACCCCCCCTTCCACCTGGGGCACCCCGAGTACTGCTTGCAATGGTCCATAAAGATCTCTCACACACTCAGCGCTAGAGAGTGGAGGGCACTTGCACACAGTCATCCCTGGTTCGATCCCCCGTACCACTTATGGTCCCCTAAGTACCACTGGGGGTGATCCCTGAGCAGAAGAGCCAGGAGTAAGCCTTGAGCACTTCTAGGCATGGTGCAAAAAAAAAAAAAAAAGAATGTAAAACCTTTCAATATTGACCTTGGTGGAATAACAAGTTACTTTTTTTATTAACATATTCAGTTAGATTAGTAGATGTTATGAAACATTTGCCTACTGTTTCTCCCCCTCTCCCATGTGTCTAACAGAAATTCTTACATGTGTCCCCACTGGAAAGTACTAGTCTACGGCGTCCTCATGACTTCCCACCAGCCTCCCAGAACAACTTGTCTCCCAACACTCCTCTGAGCTCCAGCCCCAGCACTAGTCAGGTCCCCATCACACTCCAGCCAGTGACTGATGGACCCCAGGACCCTGTACCCACATGGGGGCTTTGTGCCTCTGACTCCATACACCTGGAATGTTCTACTAGAGGTGATTCATTCCTCTTCAAGTCTTAGTTCACATATGATGTCACCTCCTGTCTGCCCTTTGGGGTCACATGTGCAAGGAAACTGTCATCCATTTACAGCCTCTGAGTGACAGGGTCGCCCTCATCCTTGGTTTCCTTACCTAGTGATCCATTTACCATACAGTACCTCCCCCAACCCTACACACACACACACACACACACACACACACACACACACACACACACACGCAGAGGATGAGAGAAGGCAGGAACCTCACCTGACTTATCTCAGCACAGGACCTAGCCCACTACAGTTAATGATGGATGGATGTGTGGAAGGTGGATGAACGGACAGTTGGATGGTCAGATGGATGGTGGACACATGGGCAGAAGGAAGATTCTATGGATGGATGAGTGGGTGGATGGGTGGAATGGACAGGTAGATGATGGATGAATAGAATGGACAGATGGATATACGTTCAGGAGGGCAGATGGACAAATGGATGGAGGAATAGGTGAACAGTTGGGTTGGTATATGTGTGAACAGATAGACAGGTGGGGTGGAAGAATGGGTGGGTGGCAGATGGACAGGTGAAAAGACTGAAGATGGACAGGTGGGTGAGTGAATGGGTAGATGGGTAGGTGGAAGGGTGGGTGTGTGGGTGAACGAATGAACAACTGAACAGTGCTAAGATCATGAGACTCTGAGACAAACACCTCAGTGACAGGGAGGGTGACCCTTGTCTCACTCTGTCCTTGCTCTCCCCATGCCCACCTCGGAGCCAGCCTGAGTGGCTTTGGGGCTAGAAGGCTGAGTTAGAATTTCAGCTCTGCCACTTAAGGATTATGGAACCCTGGGCAGATCCCCGGTGGGTCCCAAATTCTATTTTCCCAGGGCAGTTGTCTGGAAGTTCAAGTACGATGGGAACAAGGCCAGTCCGAGGGCCCTGTGACACCCAATCCAGGAGCCCCCCAGGAAGGACCTGCCTCTCAGTGACCTGGGACTCCTGGGAACCCAAGGCTGGTGCCTGCCAGTGCGCGACGGGTGGGTGATGCTTCTGCGAAGGCCAGCCTCTGAGCGACGGACCTGCAGGGAATCTCATCTCTCTTTGGTTCCGGTGTGGAAAAGACGCTCCCCTTTCATTCCAATAGGAGCGAGACAGAGCCCAGCCACAGCCCCCAGGCGCCAGGACAGTCCCCGAGCACGGCCCCGGCGGTGCAGCGGCCTCAGAAGCTACCGCAGAGGCGCCACCTTATCGGCGAAAAGCAGCCGGAGTGGGCACTGGGGAGCACCCACGCTGGACAAGAGTCACAGCTCCCACCTCCTCCACACCCCCAGGGACGGGGTGGGGGGAGCGTAGGGAGGAGAGAGGGTCTCGTGTGTGGGGCACTCATGTTAGTAAACCGAGACCTGCTCCCGGGTACAATGTGGCTGTGCCATGAGCCGGGAGGCCCTGGGAATGGCTGGGCTGTGCGGGGACAAAGCCTGCCTTTGTTCTGCTCCTGGCCTCCACTCCGCCGGGACACCGGCTGCCAGTCTGCCAGCCCCGCTCGGCCTGTCTGGCCAGGACCTGCTACTGAAAGGGCCATTCACATGGAAACCAGGGGCGGCCTGGCTTCTGCAGGCTGGCTGCAGCCTGGGATCACACGGAAGCCCAGCTCGGAGCTCTGTATGGACCAGGCGCAGCCCTGTGCTGGCCCCCCAGATCACCCTGTATGCAGGCTGCAGAGAGAAAGCCCCGAAAGCATGCCCCAGGGAGCCCCCAGAGTTCTGAGCATCGCCACCCAAGATCCACTAGCAGAAACCCAGCCAGGGGTTGGGGGGGGGGGGGTGTTACTGGAGAATGCCCCTACCAGCAGAAAACCAGCACAGCGGGGAGGCGGGGTAGAGGGCTGTCCCTGGTCCTCTGGGGCCACACACCAGAAAGTCCTTTCCAGGACTGCAAGAAGGGGAGCGGAGAAATGTGGGCAGGATGGTGACGAGGGTGCCAGGAGCCCTGATTCCCACAGCGGGGCCGCTGCCAGGCTGAAGCTACTGGGGGGGGGGGGGGGGGCTGGTGCAGACCTGGGCAGGGACTGGCCCGGTTCCCTAACCTGATTTGGCCAGCTGCCATGGGGCTGGGGGGAGTCAGGCTGGGTTGGAGGGGAGACAGAAACCCCAACCCGCTGAGACCACCAGAGGATTTCTCCCATCACTGCCCCTCCCAGGGTGCGCACAGGGTGGAAGGTTAAAGCCTGGCTTGGGGCCACTCTGTGTCTCTCTGCTGGACCTATTTCCTCCTGCCCAAGGGGAGCGATCCCCGCTCCGGTCATCACCCTCCTAAGCACACCGAGGTCACTGGCAGGCCACAAGGAGGAAAAGAGGAGAAGCGCACAGACGTGCAGGCAGACAGCCCTGGCATCTGCCAGGTCGGGAGAGGGGTGTGCCAGCTACCAGCAGCCCGATCCTTCGCGAACAGCCCTAGCCCAGCGGGCTCTGGGCCCCTGGGGACGGGGACAGTCAGCTGGGCCGCTGCCGTCCCCTCCCCCGGCTGGCCGGCCCGGGTGGGCAGGGGAGCGCGGCTCACCGTTTATTTTTGGACCCGGCTCCCTAAAAATACCCCGGCCTTCCTGTTTGATCCCTCTCCCTTTTGACCTGAATGGATCGCGCCGCCTGCCCGCCCCACCCTCGGCGCGTTGTCCTTTAAAGGAGAAGGGCGTGGGGACAGATGTGAGCGCCCGGCCGGCCGGCCAGCGGGGACCACACTGACGTCAGGGCCGCGCTCCCCGGGCCGCCGCCGGGCCGCGGGCGGGGCCGCCGGGCGCCGAGCGCGCCCATTGGCTGGCCCGCGGCGAGCGCGGGCGCCCATTGGCTGGCGGGGTTTTCGAGGGAGCCCGGCTCTCCAATTAAAGAGGCAGCGCGGGCGCCCGCAGCCCAGAGCGCCCCGCGGGCTGGCTCGAACCTGCTCATTGAGCCGCCCCGGCCCCGCCGCCGCCGCCGCCGCCGCCTCCTCCAGCTGCACGCCCGCGGGCCAGAGAAGCCAGGCGCTGTGTCTCCAGCAGCAAAAAGGATGGCAAAGGTGGCCAAGGACCTCAACCCGGGAATTCAAAAGGTGAGCCCCGATCTGCGCGTTGCTGCGCCCAGACTGTCTTTCCCGGCTCCCTGTCCCAGGCGTCGGCACAAGCGTGTGTGTAGAAGTGACGAGGGGCAATCATGAAATTCCAAGACGCACGGAAAAGCGTGGGGAATCCGTGCTGGAGCCAGCAGGCACACACACCCACCCGCCCCCAGCACCCCGCTCTGCTGTGCAGAGCCCTGGTGTGAAGTTCTTCTTTGGTGATGCTACAGGCAATCTAATTAGGTGATGCTAACTACAATCTAATTAGGGTACCATTCCTGTCTATTGGCATCCTGGGGCTTGGGGAAACCCGCCCTTCCTGCCTCCTTCACTGAAGGGAAGGTTGGGGAAGCATGAAGTATGAACTGTGTCTCCCCTTTCGCTGTTACACACATACACACACACACACACACACACACACACAGCGAGAGAGTGAGAGAGAGCTTCTCTAGTTAGCCTGGCAGATCCTGCACGCTGAGCTGGCTTTTGCCCCTGGGGTCTGCATTTCCCCTTCAAGAAGGGCTGGCCTGGAGCCCAGAAGGTCATGGTCGTGGTGGAACTCGTGCCGCCACCCCAGCTGCACCCATGCCACTGTTTACTTACCTGCTTGCAGTTAGGACAGGGTTCCTGGCAGTGGCTCGGGGGACACGCAACAGGTAGAGAGCAAAGACAGCAGAGCATGCAGGGAAACTGAGACCCCGGTGCACGGAGGGTGGGTTCCAGCAGGCAAAGGTGTGAAAGGGCAGCCAGGGGCATTCAAGGCTTTGCCCCAGGCACTTTCTGAGCCTCCACTTCCTTGGGTTCCAGGTGTGGGGGGGGCTCACCCCATCCCCTTCGTGGCAGCAGGCATAGGGCTGGTCCACTGGGCGACCATCTCCCAGAAACGACCGCTGTAAACTCCATTTACCATAGAACCAGGCTTGCAGGGTCAAACCCTTTCACCTCTGCTTGTTTGAGTCTGCAACAAAGAATCAAAGAAGAGGCAAAAGCAAATCAAAGTCACTCTCAGAATCCAAACAGAAACACACACGCCAGCCCCTTGGGGGCGCACACGGCATCCACAGGCCTCCGCTTGACAGCCTGGCCCAGACTCCCACACCCAGTCCAGGGGACCCCTCTGGATGTGGCACGTCAGGCTCCCCAAGACATCTCTCTGGAATGTTCCACATCTCGCTGCATTCACCAGCCTTGCCGAGTCAAGTCCTTTCGCCTTCTATGGAATTCCCAGAACACTTACGACGGGTGTGAGGTCCCGATTCACTTCTGCCCTGGCTGGGAGGGAGCCACCAGGGCGCCTCCTCCCCCGCGTCTCCCCACAGCCCGCCGAACTCCTGCGGCCAAGCCCGTCCTGCCCATCTCTGTCGGGACAGAGCACTGCTTCCCTGAGCATCACACACGCATGTTCCGCACGCTGACCATCCCCCCCGCCCGCTCCTCTTGTCTTGCTGTTCCGTACATTTTGTGCGCGGCTGTTTTTAACTGGTTAACCTGGAATATTCGTATGTTCAGAGCTGCCGCCCCCAAATTCAGCGAGAGTAACCGTCGTCGGAGGCTGGGGGGACGGGGCTCAGTCCTATACCCTGGGGAACATCAGGTGCCTTTGGCTGGGTTTCCTTCAAGCTGGTCGATGGCTAATGAGTAATTGATGAGGGGTGGAAATTGGGGCCGCCCCCCCCCCCCCAAGAACTCTCCCCGTGTCTCGCACAGCACAGGAGTGGGATCATCTGGATTAGAGGTAGAACACGGTCTCCTTGTCACCCACTAGTGCCAACTTCCTTGGCCTGCAGAGGATGTTTTATTCCCCCCCTGCCCCCCCGTTAAGATCCAGTTACCGGCTTAGAGAAAGAATGCGGTGGGTCAAGATGAAAGGGCTCATATTTTTGAAGCTCTTGGAACAGTCAGGAGGAAGAACAGCACTTTGTAACCCAACCAAGTCTTCGACTCAAAGAATCTCAGAAAGTGGAGGGTGGGGAAAGGCGGGAGGAGGTTCTCCCCTCACCAGCGGCGCTGAAAAGCTTTTTATTGCATATTTACTTTGTAAGTCTGCACCGGTGAGGGATTTATAACTTTTGGCTCTGGGACACACAATCACGCTTAGGCATTTTGAAACTGTTTCATAGAATCTTTGGGCTGTCAGGGACTCATTTGCAAGGGGAGGACTGTTTCTGAAGGGCCTGCCCACTGTGTGCAAACCCCTTCCCCAAGGGCGGGTGTGGGGACCCCCTTGGAGCTGATTTTCAAGAGACAATGTAACATCCCCGAACTGGGTCAGAGAGGGCAGCTAACCCATGGCAGACAGGTAGGGGCGCGATCAGCGGGTCCCACACAGCTGGGGGGGGTGGGAGACGCTGTTGGTGCTAAGTCGGGCCCCTGTGGTCACTGGTTGGCATCATCTGTTTTTCTCCCTGGGAAGAGGTTTCCTAGCACAGAGAGTTCCCTGAGAATGATGAAATCAAACCAACATTCCTTGGGAAAAGGGCCTTGGAGACCGAATGCCATTTCTCTCACTGAATCAAGTGTCATGAAAGGACACTGTTTCCCCGGTGTGGCCTTTGTAGGCCAAGGTGGGGGTAATGGAGGCTAGTGTCCGGACGATTCGGCCTCAGATCCAGGTCCAAAGTCTAGCATGACCCGCGCATGGCTGTGTGTGATAAGTCCTGGGTCTGTGCCCCAGTTTCAGAACGGGGAGACACTTGCCGCTCCTCCCCAGGCATCTGTGGCCACCGGTGCAAGCCGCAATAAGCACACAGCTCCCCGCTGCTGGACCAATTGAGGCCCAGCCGTTACTGAGCAGTCCCTGTGGACGCTGGTCCCTGGAGTGGGTGTGTGACTGTGGGGACTTTCAGGGTCTTTCAGAGGGACATGTCTCCAGGATTTTCCCAGCTGAAGGTCGGTTGAACCCAGGGCAGTGTTCGTCCTGGACGTGTTTGAATTCCCCATCAGGGTGGCCCAAGAGAGGCGCATCTGCTCACGCAGAGCTGGGGATCCCCTCCAGGTTTTGTGGGGCCTTCCAGGTCTGGGGCCATGGATTTAAGTTGGAGACGAGAGACCATTCCCCAAGGGACTGGCCAGCTGGAGTGGAGAATCGAGGCCCAGTTGCCAAGGAGCCATTTGTAAGGAACTTAGATGGAAGAGAGATGCAAGAGTGTGGTCACTGCTGAGTGTGTGTCTGTGTGTGCATGTGTGTCTGTGTGTCTGTGTGTCTGTGTATATATGTGTCTGTGTGTATGTGTGTATATATGTGTCTATGTGTCTGTGTCTATGTGTTTCTGTGCATATGTCTGTGTGTGTCTGTGCATATATCTGTATATGTGTATACATGTGTGTCTGTGTTATGTGTCTACGTGTCTATGTGTATATGTGTATATTTGTCTGTGTGTCTGTGTCTATGTGTTTCTGTGCATATGTCTGTGTATGTCTGTGTGTCTGTGTATGTGTGTGCTTGTGTGTCTGTGTGAGTCTGTGTGTGTCAGTGTGTGTATGTGTGTGTCTGTATATTTTTCTATGTGTCTGTGTGTGTCTGTATGTATTTGTGTCTTTGTCTACATGTCTGCGTGTATCTGTGTGTTTGTATTTCTGTGTGTGTGAGCGTGTGTGTCTGTGTCTGTGTGTCTGTCTATGGGTGTGTTTGTGCATGCATGTGTGCCTGTGTGTATGTGCTGTGTTGAGGCGAGGCAGGGCGTCTATGTGTCCCTGTCCCATGGTACTACTGTTGTTATTCTTGGTCCGGCCTCCCTCTCTGCCCACCCCACTGAGTCTCCCTTCGCACGGCCCCCATCAGCCCTCGCGGCTGCCTTGCCCTCTGGACCGACCTCCCCTTGGTCCTTGGCCCTTCCTGCTTTCACCTCCATTCCTGCAGCACGAAGAAAGCTGCTGGCATGAGGCCCGGACCCCTGAGCCAATGTCAACACAGGTCCCGAGCCCTGGCGCTGGCTGCCTGGGTCTTCCAAAGCTATTATTGAGCTGTCACTTCCGGACCTGGTGGCCAAGACACGCCCACAGGTGTATTGGCAGCACGGACTCAGGAGCCTGATTTTCATAGGAGACGCACGCACAGCCCCAAGTCCCCCGACACCCACAATAAAAGCAGTGGGGGCCATTCTTGGGGGTCTGATAGAGTCTGGGTCTGCTGAGATTTGATGTGTGAAGCATCAAAGGAGCTAGAATAAGCCAGCGGTGCCCCGGCAAGGGTCCCTCTCCCAACCCCTCCCTGGCTCCTGGCTCCGCTGCAGTGCACGGAAACGCACAGGCAGGCAGGGGCCACTCGAGGGCTGGTAGATTCCAGAGCCTGGCCTGCGGGTCCATCTCTTGGTTGCTGAACTTGGACCTTGTCCTCAGCACTCCTTGGCCACCCCCAGTGCAAACCTCAGCGAGGATGGGGTTTGCCTCCGGAGCCTGCGCTTCCGTTTGGCTTTCAACTTCTGAAAAGCAAACCCACTTCTTTTACATCCCTCACCCACTTCATCTCCTGTGCCCACCCCTTCCTTCCCCTGGGGTCACCTTGATTCTGCCGAACCCGTCCACTGGGTGACTTTATTCTCCTGCCACCAATGTCCCATCCTGAGGCGGCCGCATGGGTGGAATCACACACCCCTTGTTCCTTGTCACTGCAGAGTGCATTGCGGTAGACAGCAGGACTTCATCTTTGTTGTAGCTGGGTGGTATCCCGCGTGTTTGTGTCCTGTGTCTGTCACCTCCCCCAGGCTTCGCTGCTTCTGTTCCAGCATTCTGTTCCAGCAATAGATCTTGCAGCAGGCAGGCTGGGGGAGTTGTGGTTTGAGAGGGGAACCCTGTCCTGGCCCCAGGATGGCCACTGGCGGCAGCTGTGTGGGGACACAGACATTGTTCCAGAAGAGCCTCAGACAGCTTGCTTAGAGGACAAGGAAGGAGTCACTCACTACTGCTTAGCAAATGTTTGTCTAGCCTCTGCTCTGTGCCAGGAATCACACAGCCAAATGCAAGCTGGGGCCTGAGCAAGTGAGGGCTCCCCCGGC